TCCCTCCACCATGAGCATCACCTTCTCCATCACCACCACCACCACCATCATCATCATCATCACCACCCTCGCCATCATTGTTGTTAGTGAGGCGATCGCCGCCCAAAGCCAGCCTCCCGCCGACTGTTCATTACACACCTTGTCACTGCCCTCACTGTCCCCTCCTTTCTCACACAGGTGGCTGATCAAGACCCCTCCCACCCCGGAGCTGAGGCCCAGTGGTCTGGGGAAAAGTAGACCAGGGCCTGTGGCGAGCGGAGTGTTGGGGGATTTTTGGCCTCACAGCATCAGCATGCTGTGGGAAGCAGGGAAGTCCCAGGCCAAGCCTGACTCAGAGAGAGAGGTCGGCCCGGGTCTGATATATGCCAGAGCTCCCCCACTTGCTGTCTCCAAGTCCATCCTCTTCAACAGGGCAACATTATAGTCCTCTCCCTACCGGACGGACGAGGAGGGAGGCAGCCAAGAGGTAGGGGTACAGGCGAAATGATCAGGAAACAGGATAGATCAACCACGGCTGTGACCTTCCCCTTTACCCTTTGTCCTGACAGGTTTCTAATCTCTTCTTGCTCTAGAGCCTTGCTTCAACCTTTGAGAGGGCGAAAGGGGTAACATCAGTGCGGTCCTTTCCAAAAATGGGCCGCCATCAGCTTCTCCCCTCCCAGGGTGTGATGCCACTCCTCCACCCATGGGCGATTCGCCCCCTGCCCTGGAATCCGGGCCGGCCTCGTGGCTGACCCACAGAATGAGCAGAAGTGATGGCTCTGGGACTTCAAGGCCCGTAAAGGACTGATCGCTTCTGCCTCCCTCCCTTTGGAACCTTCACTCTTAGAAAGCTCCCTCCTCTTGCAACCCAGACACCTTGCCGCGCGAGGAGCTCCAGCCACAGGCGTGGGGCCACATGACGGGAGGGGGACCTGACGTGGACTGCCAGCCACATAAGTGAGCCATCTTGGATGTTCTAACCCCTTCAGGTCCCCAGATGACTGCGGTCCCCTCCCCCCTCCCAGTGACATCACAAGAAGGAGAAGAACTGCCCGGCTGAGCCCAGCCACCCACAGAACTGTGACAGGTAAGAAAACATGGTTGCTTAAGCCACTGAGTTCCAGGACAGTTTGTCGGGCTGCACACGATCGTTAAAACAAAACCCCACAGCAATGCACCATCTTGGACAAACATGTCCTGCCCCTCTTCCATCTAGAGCCTACTGACAGGATCTGTAACCGGCTCCAAGGTCCAGACACAGGTTTGCTTAGCATAAGTCGTCAATTAACTTCAGGAAGGACGGGGGCCATAGGAAGCCGGTGTGTATGTGTGTGTGTGAAGCTGTTCAGAACCTTCCGCCCTGGGATGCAGGCTAATGGAGGGGGGGCAAGTTTGGCTGATTTCTTAGACTTTCTTTTTTTTCTTTCTTAAAGATTTTGTTTATTTATTCGAGACAGAGAGTGAGAGAGGGCGAGAGCATAGGCGGGGGGAGGGGCAGAGGGAGAGGGAGAAGCAGACTCCCCGCTGAGCAGGGAACCCCACGAGGGGCTCGATCCCAGGACCCTGAGATCATGACCTGGGCCGAAGGCAGATGCTTAACCGACTGAGCCACCCAGGCGCCCTCTTAGACTTTCTCATACTTAATACCATCGTGGTGTTGGATTATTTATATTATATCCCAAGAGCCTTCACTGGTACCATTGTCTCCATCATCAACCCTACTGCCTTTGTCAGTCACCACCGACTTATCCTCACTGCGGCTGCTAACGAACACCTCCACCTCGACCGTCACTGTCAAGACCACGAACAGCCTCCCACTTTCTACAGTTAGTCCACCAGCAGTATCGCCACCACCACCACCTTGACCTCCGTCACCAACCTCAGTCACAGCGGTCTGCTGTGGCCCCGGCACAGCAGATCGTCATAAAGGGCTACCACGGGAGCTGACCCAGAATGTTCTTCCACCTGCACAGTGCCTCCCCAGGAGAAGCACGGCACGCCTCCAGGCTCCGTGGCCCTCTTCCCCGAGAGCCCCCTTCTTACCTGGCAGAGTGTCGGTGCCACAGCCGGGGACAGCAGTTTTGGAGAGCGAGTTTAAGCATGGAGGACACCTGGCTGCCTGTGGGGGGCTTGGTGACGAAGATGGGGGTGGCAAAGAGGAAGATGAAGAAGGCCAGGCCCATGCAGCCCACGGTGATGCTATAGCCCAGCAGGAAATCGATGTTCTGTTGGATAAAGGCCACCACCAGCAGTGACAGCACGGCACCCACGTTGATACTCCAATAAAGCCAGTTGAAGAAGCGACGGCTGGCATGGCGGCCAAGATCCATCACCTGCGGGGCAGGGGTGAGAGTTAAGGGAGGTCCGGGGGCACCCTGCCACGATGTCCCTGCACCTCTTTTCCCACAGAGGCACTTCCTGGGTCAGCACTTTCCTAGTCCCTGATCACTAAATAGATACTCAGTACATATTGGTTGATTGAATGAATAAACCTTTCCCTTGGGAGTCACTTGTTAATGATCAGGACAGTTTGGCAGAGCTGTTTTTTCATGCCCATGGCACACAGTGCTTTTTTATTTTCACCAAGGAGTGCATACAACAGATGTCTCTGATGCCACTTTGTTCATTTCTGGTTGATTTATTCATTTGTCTTTGACTGAACAACCTGTAGTATGTATCAACTTTATAATCAGAAGAAAGCCCATAAAGATCAGGTCTGTTTCACATTATTAAATATGATGTATGTATATTACTGAAAGAACAGTTGAAAGTCTAATTGAGAATTTCCTCTGCAATTTGGAGATGCAGAGTTTTCTACCGTGGCCCATTGGCCCATCCCTTCCTCTCCTCTTGCTCCCTCTGTTATATGCCCAGTCAAATAAGGTTGGCATATCAGGGAAAGCAGGGGTGGTCTCCGACACAGCCCCAAGAGCGGGTTCTGGCCTGATGAACCCCACCCCCCCAGCAAGGGCAGAAAGACTGAAAATCTTTACCCAGGATTTGGATCAATCTGCAACAGTCAGGCCCCAGGCCCCCTTCCAGTCTGCTGGCTCGGGTCAGCTGCACTGGCTGATCCCACCTCTCCCAGACCCTGGCCCCAGATTCTGACTCAGCAGGTCTGGGGCAGGGCCCAGGCATCTGCATTTCTAAAAAGCAGTAAAGACTAGAGGTCAATTTTCAAGGTGATTCTGTATGCTGTTACACCCCGTCACCCTTTCAACAAACCAACGCATCTCAAAATCCACTGGTCTCCTTTTTGTCAAGCTTTGTGTTCTGTAATTGCATTGGGGAAAAGAGAAGTATTTATTTTTCCTTTTCCAAAGTAAAATTATAGTCTATACGGATGCATGCCCTTAGAGATTCTGAGGGGTCCTCTAGGCATTGCAGGGGGAGGACCACGTCCACATGATGAGAATGTTTGCTGTAGACTTTCAAGCAGAAAATTGAGTAAGTCCCATTATGTGCAGGCACTTCCATTTATTAATTGGATGTAAATGAATATGACAATTGCAACTCTAAGGGGAAGGCCAGACAGCCCATTCAGGATATAAATGAGCTCTCCCAAAATGAGCACTTTGTCAAGAATGACGGATGGCCCTTTTTGAAATCAGCAAGTGTGTTAAAAACCCGGCTCCTGGGTATGGCTGTCGGCCAGATGGTGCCAACCCTTCTCACCCACACACCCTCCATCTGACTGCCCCCCTGAATTCTGCAGCAGCCCCTCACTGCTTTGGTGTACCTGCTCCTGTTACCCCCATCCACTCTCCACTGTAGCCAGAGACGTTTTTTTAAAGAACTCAAATCCACTGATGTCCACCCCTGCCTGAAATCATTTCAGGGTTTCCAACCTGTCCAGTGGGTCAGGTTCAGACCCCCTAGGGCAGTCTAGGGCACCTGGAGGTGTAGGGGATGTCAATGAAAGAGTAGAATGAAGGGAAGAAGAGAGATTCCTATTGGCAGATGTTGGGGGTCTCCTAGTCCGAAGGAAGGTCAACAGTAGCTGAGGAATGGACAGGCCTCCCCGGGGGCACGGAGTCTGCCATCATCAAAGGAACCCAAACAGGCTGGATGAGTCAGTCCTTGGTAAGGACGCTGGAAACCGCGTAGGATGCTGAACTGTGGGTGGCAGCTGGATGCAATGATTCTTTGAAAATGTTCCCTTTATGATGGTGAATACGTACAATTAAAGAACATTTGAAGAACAGAGGCGAAAGGGAGAAGTACAGTAAGTCCTGTGATCTGATCGCACTGTTGTTACAGCCTTTTCCGGTTTCTCCTTTTAGCTGACTCCTAGTCTTTTCATAGGGCTGTAATCGTATTCTGTACTCATTCTGCCTCGCTTTTGCTCACTAACACCACATGTGGTTGCTTTAATCCTATTACATATTACTTAAACTTATTGTCTAATATCCCACTGAGTAAAGCTACCAAAATATAGCCATATCATTAGGCCTTCACTCATTCATTCGGTAAACATTCATTGAATTTCTCCTGTGTGCCACGCCCACCGTCCAAAAGCATACAGAGAAAGGCTCAGAAGTTGAGATGTTTGCCCACGAGCTCCTGGCTAGTGAGTGGCAGAGCTGGGATCTGAACAAGTCTGCGGGACCCCCACCTCTGGCACTGCTGGTTAAGAAGGGGCTTACTCCTTCCCTAGCCCCCAGATCCCAGCGCACATAAAGCTGGGGCTCGTGGTGGGGCCTGAAGTCCAGCTACCCTTCCTACTCCTTGACCTGCTCTCTCTGTGACCTTGGACAGGTTGATTCATATCCTGAAACCTCAGTGTCCTCGTCTGTAAAGTGGACATAATAATACCACCTACCTCCTGGGTAGTTAAGAGGATGAAAGGAGTGAAAACATTGAAAGCAGCGCAGAGTCCAAGAAAACCAGCTACGGTTATTACCATGGTGGCCATCGGTATTGTTGTTTGAGTTAGCGCCCCCTCTTCTTTCCAGTAAAGAAACCGGGAGCAGCGAGGGGAAGTGGTTTGTCTGAGGTCGCTCCTGGGTCTCGGCCTCAGCCCCCACGAGCCTCGCTGGCCCTGCGAACCTCCCCGGGGCCTCGCTGGGCGCGGGGCGGCCCGCCTGCCACTCACCTGGTCCGCCCCGAAGGAGGTGAGGTTGCTCCTGACGGAGCTGGCGGCCAGGGCGAGCAGCAGCAGCCCGGAGTAGAGGGTGGGCGCGCAGTACGGGGTGGGCGACACGCGCGTGCAGCCGGTCGACGGGCAGGCGGGCCCCAGCGGCGACGCGGGCACCTCCCCGCAGAAGGAGCGGCGGCCGTCCCTGAAGGCGGTGGCGGGCAGCAGGCTGGAGGCGACCAGGTAGAGCAGCAGGCTGAGCGCGACGGCGCGGTAGCGGCCCAGGTACGCGTCGGCCAGCCAGCCGCCCACGGGCGCCAGCAGGTAGGAGGCGCCCAGGAAGACGAGCGCAGCGCGGGACGCCTGCTCGCCGTCCCACTGGAAGCTGGCGCTGTTGAGGTAGAGCACCAGGTTGGCCGAGACGCCGAAGAAGGCGGCGCGCTCCAGCGTCTCCACCAGCAGCACGGCGGCCGCCGCCGTCCGCCGCCACCGTCGGGGCGCCCGCGGCCTGCGCGCCAGCAGCGGCCGGCGCTCCTCCCCGGCGCCCGGCGCGGGCATCGTCCGCCCGCCGCCCTGCCCTGCGGCCCCGCGCGCTCAAACGGGCCGCCCTCCTTTCCTACCCTTTGCGGCTCCCCCGCCCCCCCAGCCCGCCTTCCTGTCTCCTCTGCCTGTCTTTCTCCCCCCCCACACCCCCACCCTGGCCTCAGGGGCTACCCAATCTCTACCCCCGCCCGGTCCCTAACCCTCAACTCTGTCCTCTCTCCTTCATCCACCCCTGACTCTTCCGGCCCCCACTCTTTCTCCCCCTCCCCTCAACCCCACGGCCCCCGCTGTCGACCCTTCTTCGCCCCGTTTCTCTGCCCCTCCCCCTCCTTTCCTGTTGATCTCCCCGGTTGGTGGCCCCGGCTTGCTAAAGTGTCGTCCCTCCCACCTGGGACACCTGGCGTACACTCTGGGGAGGGGGCCCTCCCACAGGGCTCGCTCGGCCCCCACCGGTCTGGCTGTCTGCTCCACCGCCTCCTTGCCCACCCCCC